ATGACAAGACATACAAAAGATTCAGTATAATATTGGAAGAAGGATACTGTGTGAAAAAAATGAAGAAAAGATCAGCAAAAATAACTAATAGAGAACATTCACTAAGGAAATACTGCCCTGAAGAGATAAAAATTATGACCAAAAATTTGGTTTAAATTAAAAAAACAAAATCAGAAACTTGGTAGACAATAGACTTTATAAAGAGAGACCACAAAGCAAGAAAAATTTTAAAAATAAAGAAAGGCATGGCATGGCAAAGGAGGAAATGCAACATTAAGTGGGAGAAATTAGGAGAGAAGTAAAATAAAAGAATAAAGTCATCATAGATATAAAAACAGTAAAGGAGAGGACAGAACCTACTAAAATCCTAGCAGGTGATGGAGAGGACAAAAATGAGAATAGTAAGCAAAATAAAACATTTTCAATAAAAAGAACAAACAGAAAAAATTTTAAAAACCATACAACACAGGGAAAGGAGATCCAAATTATGCACAATTTGAATTTCCAAGAAACAAAACTGAAACAACGACATCAAAAAACAATTTAAAGACACAATTCAATAAATAAAAATGATTTGAACTTACACTGTGAAAGACTATACCAGGTGAAATGTTTCCTAAAGTGGTTGATATTGAGGCATAGAATGGAACTCATGCATAAATACTTGGGCACTCTTACAAAAAAGATCAAGTCATTTATAATGAAAAAAAATTAGTCTCTCACTTCTCTACGGCAATAGTCAACAGATTCATTGTGAGAAGACAGTAAAATTGCATTAAATATTTGTGAGAAAATAAACTGTGAGTCTAGTATTTTAAATTCAGCCAAATTGTTCTGTTAGAATAAAGGTTGCAAAACAAGAGGTTTCAACATGCAAGAAGTCAGGAAATATTTTTTCTTGACAAAATTTCTAGAAGACACGCTTCTAGCCAACTAAAATATTCCTAAAAAATGGTGATAAAAAGACTGGCTGTAAACTTGGAATACATGTAACTAAATTAATATGACAAAAGATGGATTTTAGGGTGACAAAGGAGAATGGAAATGTCATATAATGATGCAGGAAATTGAAACAAAGTGGTGAAGAGGGTGAGAAGCAAACTCAATAGTTGCCTCACGAATAAGAGCTGGCAGTCAAAGGACAACATACAAAGTTTACAAATCCTCTGATGGAAATTTGAGTATAATTAACAATACACCAAGAAAGATAAACTTATGACTTAATTGGGTGGTTGAGAAGAGAGTTTAGAAGGGCTAAAAGAGAGCATAAGCCAATTTCATCATGGCTTACAGTTAGAATTCACAGATACTGTCCAAATCATTAGAGATAAAGCTAACATATTGCTTTTAATTATAAAGAAATATAAAACTTGTAAATAGCAGAACTAGACACAACATACACACACACACATGCACACACACATGCTGTGCACAAACGTGTGCACACAATGTACCCAAGGCACACGATAAAAGACTTAAGGAAAAAACAGAGAATAAAATTACAAGATATAAAAAATTTAGACTGAACATATCTGTCATAAATGGGCTTAATTCACAAAAGTAAAGCAAACAAAATTTTCATATCGGCTGGTAAAACAAAACCCAGCCCTCTGCTGAGGATACCGTGGTATTCAAACGGTTAAAACTAAAATGATATTCCAGCCGAATGCAGTGGTTCAGCCTGTAGTCCCAGCACTTTGGGAGACCGAAGTGGGTGGATCACTGGCGGTCAGGAGACTGAGACCTGCCTGGCCAACATGGTGAAACCCTGTCGCTACTAAAAATACAAAAATTACCTGGCATGGTGGCATGTGCCTGTAATCCCAGCTACTCAGGAGGCTGATGCAGGAGAATCGCCTGAACCTGGGCAGCAGAGGTTGCAGTGAGCTGAAATCACGCCACTGTGCTCCAGCCTGAGCAACAGAGTGACACTCTGTCTCAAAATAATAATAATAATAATAATAATAATAATAATAATAATAAAACTAAAAATGATATTCAAAGCTAAAGTGGGAAAAGAAAAAGCAAAAAAATTCATAATGGTAATGTCAGACAAAATGAAATCCAATTAACATTATTAAATGAGAAAAAGAAAAATACATAATCATGCTAAATAATACAATTATGAGTAGATATAGAACATAAATACTTTTGAATAAAGAGCAGATTATGAAGTTTTTAAAAATGAATATTCCAGGAAATAAAATGTGGAATAGAAACGCACTGGAAATAGGAAATTTTATTCACTTCTCTCAGTACAAACACAGATTAAAAGAGCCAAAAATAACATAGCCAATGTGACATGATGAACAAGTTACATCTGATTAATAGCTATTAAAATATGTGCTTTGAAAAGAATATATATATACATTTAAGTGCTTCTATATTCACAAAAATTGACCATACATAAATGTAATATAACCAGAAATTAAATTTAAAAATAAGAAATGAATTTTTTTGTCCTAAAACTTTAAATATTCTTATTTATCTCCTTGTTCAAGGGGGAAACAAACGCCAACAAAAAATGGAAGAACAACTGGGAAAGAAAACAATGAAAATACAAGTAAAAACCTCTAGAATATAGCTTAATGAATATTAAAAGAAAATTAGCTATAGACTTAAATACTTACATCAATAAAACAAATAATGAAAGTAAGTGATTAAATATCTGACTCGAAAGGTTAGACAAAGAAAAATAAAATAAACTAAGGGAAAGCAAAGGAGGGAATTAATAGAAATGAAAGGAGAAACTGACACAGAATAGATAATTCTGAATTAGGAAGTAAATTCTAAATGTGGTCTGTTATAAAAACAGTAAAAAGATAAACCATTAGCTGATGATTACAAGAAAAATGCTCAGAATAAACAATAAGGACAAAATAACCATAAGAAAAGAGGAATTAAAAGAGTGATGCATGTACTTTGCTCAATTCCATGCCAATACTTTTGGAACTGTGGTTGAAATGATAATCATGTTACTACCTACATATTCTGAAAAAATATTTGGAAAAATAATTTTAGTCTCAATGTGATTAAAATTTAAGTGAAAACAAGTTGTACTATTATAGAACCTTAATAATTAATATATCGTGGCACTGATGTAAGATAATTCAAAAATACACATACATGCATATGAAAATTTAGCTTAAATTAAATTTGGTATCTCAAATCAGTGGGGTAATATATGGACTATACAATATATATTATTGAGAAAATGAGACTATCCATTGGGAAAGAAATTAATTTGAACACTTCACACTGAACAGCTTGAAAAAATTCTATATGAGTCAAAAATTTAAATATACTTAATGAAAATTAGAATCCATTTATGACATTACAGTGGAAAAGGAATTTCCAATCATAATTCAAAATTCAAAAGACACCAAGGAATAAGATGAAATATTCTATTACAGAGAAGTTAGTAAGCACAACCACAAAACATATGCTTGGTAAAAACAAACAACAAACAAATGTAATTTAAGCACAGTAAAGTTCAAACTACAGGAGAAATGCTCCAGGTTAGATCACAAATCAGGGGATGATTTCATTATATATCAATCCATCCTATAAGCCAATGCAACTTTTAAAAATCTATTGCCTTCCACCCCTTAAATTCTCATAAAGATAAGTGACTTAAAACATCAGACAGTGTGATCAAATTCCCTCAAGCTCATTATCAATCGACAAAAGTTTAAAGTTTGTTACTGTTCTCTATTAGTAAGGCTGTGGGAAACAGGGGATCACACACACTGTTGGCAGAAATGTAAATTGGTTAAACACCTATGGGAGAGGGAGTGTAGTCGATCAATATTCATCAAAAATGTCAATATATATATATCTTTTGGCCCATCAATTCTACTTTTAGGAATTTATGTTATGGACATAGTCACACATTTAAAAAATAGTGGATGTACAGTATTATTCATTGCAACATTGTTTTTAACAGCAAAAACAGTGGAAAAAATCCTAAATTTTCATCTGTATGGGATGGTGAAATAAATTTTGTCCTTTTTTTTCCTAACACCAATATGAAACTATAAAAAAGGGAGTTCCCTATGTAGTAAAATGGAAATATCTTCAGGATACATAGTCAAGTTAGTAAGTTAAGATGCAGCATACCGTGTATCACATGCTACCATTTGTATTAAGAAGCTTGCTGGGCTGTCTGTGGTGGCTCACTCTTATATTCTCAGCATTTTGGGAGGCTGAGGTGGGAGAATTGCTTGAGGCCAGGAGTTCCAGACCAGCTTGGACAACATAGTGAGACTTTGGTCTCTACAAAATAACTAAAAATTAGCTAGGTGTGATGGCACTCCCCCTGTAGTCTTACCTACTTGGGAGACTGAGGTGGGAGGTTGCAGGGAGATGTAATCACACCACTGCACTCTAGCCTGGGCAATAGAGCAAGGTCCTGTCTAAAAAAAAAAAAAAAAACTGAAAAATGAGATGTAATTTTTGCTTGTGTGTGTGTGTAACATATGTCTAGAAGGACACGCAAGAAAGTAATAATGGTAGTTACTTGGTTGAAGATGAGATGGATAGTAATTTGATAGATGGGACAGATTTCTTACTCTATTATTTTACTGTTTGATTCTTAACCATATAATTGTAATACATTTTTCAAGAATTCAGTAACTTCTGTGAATACAAATGTTACCATATTTCTTTATGTTTGGGGAGGAGGGAGACAAGTCTTAATAGATCTGACTGAGATTCAATGACGACTCTGAAACACATTCTAAATCTTTTGACACTTAGGTTTTTGCTATGGAGTTTCCTAGTGCCTCATACTAAACTTTCATTTAATGGAAATGATTACTTTTTCCCGTAAGTATTTTTGATAATCTTCACTTGAAATGTCAATTATTTCTGAGACATGAGTTTTTTTCTCTGTGCATTAATTGTTTCTGCAATAATTATGTTCAACAGTTTGATATCAATTGTTTTAATAGCTTAAACAGTAATAAAATTGCTCTTTTAGGTGTTATGACTATGTTATAACTGCATTTATAGCATTTATATTAAATAGATGTAATCTATAACATAGTCATAGGTCAACTGTGGACATGTGAAATCTGAGACAGGCAAATTTATTTTCTGATTACACTGCTAAAGTGACCCATGAACTAGAAAAATTCTTCTTAAGATGGAACTGAGGTTTTGGAGAAGCACCTGAAGAAATGAGAAAGGAAAGATGCATGCACACAGTTGCCTGGTTGGCCAACTCCGAGCGTCAGATGGAGACACAGGTGTGGCAGATTGATCACCAGCAACCTATGTAGAATTGCCAGCTAAGTCTAGGTAATGTTTTGTAATTTTCCTTGTGATTTCTTTTTGATGTATTGATTATTTAAGAGCATGTTTTTAAATTTTAATTATTAAATTTGGATAATTATTAAGAGCATGTTATTTAATTTTAAGAGCATATTATTTAATTTTAAGAGCATGTGATTTAATTTGCACATTTTTATGAATTTCTCAAACTTTCTTCTGTCATTGATTTCTGTTCAACTGTGGCTGGGGAATACACTTTGTATGGCTTCAATCCTTTTACGTTGACTGATGCTTGTAAGAATTCGTGTGTGGTCTATGCTGGAGACTGTTCCATGTGTGCTTGAGAGGAATCTGCACTCTGCTGTGGGGTGGAGGGTTCTCTAGATGTCTGTTAGGTTTACATGGTTTATAATGTTGTTCAACTATTTTCTTACTAATTTCTGCCTAGTTGTTCTACCTAATATTAGAAAGCAATAACAAGTATTATTAAGCAACTGTTCTATTACAGACATTGAACTAAATTTGTGACCTTATTTCTATGTATAGGTCTCAAAAATAATGACAACAAAGAATATTGCAATTCAAAAATATTTTAAAACTAAGTAACTATGTACATGAATTCCTTCCTATTATGAAGCAATTTAAAAGACCAAAGTAAATATACTAAGGCTCTGAGAATAAGGCATAAAGTGGAAATCACAGCACCTAAAATTAGGAACATCTGGAAATCTGTCTGCTTTGCCATAGCTGTTGGATAGATGGTCACAGGTGCTGTCCATTCCCATTACAGGTTAAATAATGAGAAGAGCCATAGCTTCACATGTTCTGCTGCTTTTTTTCCCATCCGCAAGTCTTTTCTGTATTAAATAACTCAGGACAGCTACTTTTGATTGATGTATTATCATATCACAGATGCTTGTTACTGTTTGTTCTCTGGTATTTGTGTTCTTTTATTATACTTTAAGTTCTGGCATATGTGTGCAGAATGTGCACGTTTGTTACATTTTTTATGATTTCTTTGTGATTCGTGTGTATTTTTGTGATTTGTGTGTATTTTTGTGATTTTTTGATTTTTTGTGTATTTGTGATTTTTACAAGGCAGAATTCTACTTGTAGGTAGGAATTCTGTAATGTGAATCGGGGGCATTATGTATTTACCAAAAACTCATGTCTGTTTCTTTCTGGTCTTATTTCTAAGCCAATTGTCCTTTAACTCTTGGTCTAGAGTCTCTATACTTAAAAAAATTATTGATGATCCCAAAAATGTTATTGTTTATGTGTTTTCTGAGTATTGAAATCAATTATATTAGAAATTAAACAAGTAAAGTTGAAAATATTTATTAATTAATTTTAAAATAATAAATCTACAATGTCAACTTTTTTTCATGAAAAATAAATATATTTACCAAAACAAAAAAATATGGGAAAAGTGACATTATATGTTTGCAGATTTCTTTACTGCCTGAATTAACAGAAGATAGCTGGATTTATGTACCTGTTTCTATTAATATAGCCAATCTGTTTCAATTTGTGGTTTTGGTTGAAATATACGAAAGCAAATGTGTCCTCACACAGATATGTAGTTGGAAAACTGAGTAGGATTTTAAAAGTATTCTCATTGTAGATATTAATTGGAACTACAATTATAGACATTTTTCTTGAATTCTAGATCAAAACGGGATAAGAGACAATTTCTTAAAGGTTAGTTGCAATGAACTTTGCATACAGGGTGGCATTAAAGTCCATTGATCTATCTTGCATTTGAATATATCTTTTATCTACACATGATTGTTGTTATGTAATGATTTGGTCATTTGGAAAATATTGGGTCACTGTCTTATGCAAGTCTTCCTTTAGCTGTTAGAAATGTAAAAGCTTTTGATTGGAACAGTTTCAGAAGCAACGGAATGAATTCTTCTTTGTACCTCTGGTAGAATTTGGCTGTGAATCCGTCTGGTCCTGGACATTTTTCGGTTGGTAGGCTATTAACTATTGCCTCAATTTCAGGACCTATTATTGGTCTATTCAGGGATTCAACTTCTTGCTGGTTTAGTCTTGGGGGGGGTGTATGTGTCCAGGAATTTATCCATCTCTTCTAGATTTTTTAGTTTATTTGCATAGAGGTGTTTATAGTATTCTATGATGGTAGTTTGTATTTCTGTGGGATTGGTGGTAATATCCCCTTTATCATTTTTTATTGCGTTTATTTGATTCTTCTCTCTTTTCTTCTTTATTAGTCTTGCTAGTGTTCTATCAATTTTGTTGATCTTTTCCCTAATTCATTTTATGAGGCCAACATCATCCTGATACCAGAACCTGGCAGAGACACACACAAAAAAGAGAATTTTAGACCAATATCCCTGATGAACATCAATGCAAAAATCCTCAATAAAATACTGGCAAACCGAATCCAGCAGCACATCAAAAAGCTTATCCACCACGATCAAGTTGGCTTCATCCCTGGGATGCAAGGCAGGTTCAACGTACACAAATCAATAAACGTAATCCAGCATATAAACAGATCCAAAGACAAAAACCACATGATTATCTCAATAGATGCAGAAAAGGCCTTCAACAAAATTCAACAGCCCTTCATGATAAAAACTCTCAATAAATTCGGTATTGATGGGAAGTATCTCAAAATAATAAGAGCTGTTTATGACAAACCCACAGTCAATATCATAGTGAATGGGCAAAAAACTGGAAGCATTCCCTTTGAAAACTGACACAAGACAAGGATGCCGTCTCTCACCACTCCTATTCAACATAGTGTTGGATGTTCTGGCCGGGGCAATCGGGAAATAAATAAAAAAGAAATAAAGGGTATTCAATTAGGAAAAGAGGAAGTCAAATTGTCCCTGTTTGCAGATGACATGATTGCATATCTAGAAAACCCCATTGTCTCAGGCCAAATCTCCTTAAGCTGATAAGCAACTTCAGCAAAGTCTCAGGATAGAAAATCAATGTGCAAAGATCACAAGCATTCTTATACACCAATAACAGACAAACAGAGAGCCAAATCATGAGTGAACTCCCGTTCACAATTGCTTCAAAGAGAATAAAATACCTAGGAATCCAGCTTGCAAGGGATGTGAAGGACCTCTTCAAGGAGAACTACAAACAACTGCTCAATGAAATAAAAGAGGACACAAACAAATGGAAGAACATACCATGCTCATGGATAGGAAGAATCAATATTGTGAAAATGGCCATACTGCCCAAGGTAATTTATAGATTCAATGCCATCCACATCAAGCTACCAATGACTTTCTTCACAGAATTGGAAAAAACTGCTTTAAAGTTCATATGGAACCAAAAAAGAGCCCACATTGCCAAGACAATCCTAAGCCAAAAGAACAAAGCTGGAGACATCACTCTACCTGACTTCAAACTGTACTACAAGGTTGCAGTAACCAAAACAGCATGGTACTGGTACCAAAACAGAGATATAGAGCAATGGAACAGAATAGAGCCCTCAGAAACAATACCACACATCTACAACCACCTAATCTTTGACAAACCTGACAAAAACAAGAAATGGGGAAAGGATTCCCTATTTAATAAATAGTGCTGGGAAAACTAGCTAGCCATATGTAGAAAGCTGAAACTGGATCCCTTCCTTACACCTTATACAAAAATCAATATAAGATGGATTAAAGACTTAAATGTTAGACCTAAAAACCATAAAAACCCTAGAAGGAAACCTAGGCGATACCATTCAGCTCATAGGCATGGGCAAGGACTTCATGACTGAAACACCAAAAGCAATGGCTACAAAAGCAAAAATTGACAACTGGGATCTAATTAAACTAAACAGCTTCTGCACAGCAAAAGAAATGGCCATCAGAGTGAACAGGCAACCTACAGAATGGGAGAAAATTTTTACAATCTACCCATCTGACAGAGGGCTAATATCCGGAATCTACAAAGGACTTAAACAAATTTACAAGAAAAAAATCAAACAACCCCATGAAAAAGTGGGCAAAGGATATGAACAGACACTTCTCAAAAGACGACATTTATGCAGCCAACAGACAAATGAAAAAATGCTCATCATCACTGGCCATCAGAGAAATGCAAATCAATACCACAGTGAGATACCATCTCATACCAGTTAGAATGGCGATCATTAAAAAAGTCAGGAAACAACAGGTGCTGGAGAGGATGTGGAGAAATAGGAACACTTTTACACTGTTGGTGGGACTGTAAACTAGTTCAACTATTGTGGAAGACAGTGTGGTCATTCCTCAAGGATCTAGAACTAGAAATACCATTTGACCCAGCCATCCCATTACTGGTATATACCCAAAGGATTATAAATCATGCTGCTATAAAGACACATGCACACGTATGTTTATTGCAGCACTATTCACAATAGCAAAGACTTGGAACCAACCCAAATTTTCATCAGTGATAGACTGGATTAAGAAAATGTGGCACATATATACCATGGAATAATATGCAGCCATAAAAAAGGATGAGCTCATGTCTTTTATAGGGACATGGATGAAGCTGGAAACCATCATTCATAGCATACTATTGCAAGGACAGAAAACCAAACACAGCATGTTCTCGCTCATAGGTGGGAATTGAACAATGAGAACACATGGACACAGGGTGGGGAACATCACCCACAGGGGCCTGCCAGGGGGGGGGGGGGGGCGGGGGAGGGATAGCATTAAGAGATATACCTAATATAAATGACCAGTTAACAGGTGCAGCACACCAACATGGCACATGTATGCATATGTAACAAACCTGCACATTGTGCACACATACCCTAGAACTTAAAGTAAAATAATAATAAAAAAATTTAATTAAAATTAAAAAAAAAATGTAAAAGCTTGGCTGGGTGCAACGGCTCCCACCTGTAATCCCAGCATTTAGGAGCCTGAGGTGGGTGGATTGCTTGAGGTCAGAAGTTCAAGCCCAGCCTGACAGGTTGAAAATCTGTACTAAAAATACAAAACATTAGCTGGGCATGTGGTGGGTGCCTATAATCCCAGCTACTTGGGAGGCTGAGGCAG